AAAACACTTCTAAAACTCCTAAATGAGGGTTTGCTACTCTACTGTAGGCATCTGACAATACATGCAGGTAAATGTTATCATCTCTATTTTTGCATTTCCAGAAGGGTATCCGCATTGTAATGTCTCTGAATTTACTGCACATCTTAACGTGTCGCCTTTTTAAAAAAAAATTCTTAGGAGAAATCCAATTGGACTTACTAATGAGAAGGCTTATAAGCAGAACTGGAGCATGAGGGTGGAGGGGGCAGAAAAAGGCTGGCTAACACCTGTTCAGTGTCTGTGGACATGCCTTGCTTTATCAGCCATGAAATTTGTTTTCCAAATCTGACTTGGTGGTTTATCCTTAGTTCTCTTTTTGCTACTTTCAAACCTCCAAAATTGTTCAGCTGCTGAAAAGTTCCAAAACAAGCAAATGCATTCCTGGAATCCTACCCTTAACTGTGCTGGATAATATATACTAAGGCTTCTTCTCCAGCCAAAATAATAAAAGATCTTTTAAGTGGGTGGAATTCTTGGTTGATTGCACATGCATGCCAATGTCAGACAACTATAAATAGAGAGATCTGGAAGAAAAATAGGGAGAGTCTTTATAACTCCAAGGAAATAAAATGGAATGTTTTGAAGGCCATTGGAAAACAGAACATGTATTTATAAAATTAAGATTTGTCTCCCTTTAGTCCAAAATCCCCTTCAAGCAAGAGAGAACCCACATGGATCATAAAATTCCAATAGGAAGGAATAAAAGGACCTTCTTTTCTATATTAATATGTATTTATTATTCTCGATCCTATAATTAAGACTTCTTTATATTATCCTTTTCAGTTTAGATATCTGCTGAATCTTTTGATATTTTTCTCCTATCACTGCATTGTTTCACCAGAATACTAAAAAAATCTTTCAAAGGATAAAACTATGCCCATGGTCACTGGTATAAATGAAGTCAGCAGGGAATTGCTTGGGAGTTACCTAGGGCAGACTTGGTCCCAAAATAAACTGGGTCACTTGTTACAGCTGTTCAAAGAGATATAAGTCTTCATTTCTCAAGAAATTCTTACTCGCTTAGGCAGGTTAACATATCCATGAGCTTCAACAGCTGTGTTAATACATATCCTTAAAGACGTTTCTTAATTTTCAAATGTAATGTTTCAAATGTAAGTGACTTACATTTGTCTATTAACCTGCCCATCTTGTATTAACCTGTCTAAATTGAATTGAAACCAGTCCTTGCAAATTAGTTCACTTTATTTAGAACCTATTACTGCTGTACAAGAGAATTTAGCAATTGCTTTGGTTTCGTAATTGTGCCGTCGATGAGCAAATTAGTGAGCAGCAAGGGAGAATGCCAGCATTTGCCTAATTGTCCTTAAATGCCATTCTTCTGAATCCAAACTCCATTCTTAAGTCAGAGATGTTGAAATGTCAGTGATGGTTACAAGGTCACAAGTCCATTTGGAGGAAGGATCAACAATATAATTCATATCTCTGAATTCTTACTTCTCTGTAAATCACATTGGGTTCAAATTGGTTGGAGGCTACAGTATCACTCTAAGGGTTCAGTACATGATGGATACCAGAAAATCATATTTTTATAATATTTTTAGTGATGAATTTATTACTTGGTGTTTTGTGAAATAAACCCTTAAGGCAACAACAACAACAGCAAAGGACTTGTGGGGATTTGAAAATAGCATGGTTCTAAACATATCATGTTTATAATTTTAAAACATCATTTCAAAAGCTCAATTTTAATATTTTCCCTAAAATGCTTTTAAAGTAATCTAAGGGCGGGACTCTATTAAATGACTATGAATTAATTCTAGGTTTTTTAAAAGGCATATGTGACTGTAGAAATAAAGAATGATATTAACTGCAATTCTATCAAATGATTTAAAAGACCTTACTTAAAAATATATCTTTCCTTTAGTTTTTTAGAACTTGTTTTTAGTAGAAAAAATATAAATACTATGTTCACAAAAAATGCAAATAAAATATATTTCTAAAGTGACATCTTAAAGAGAAACGGAGTTCTTATTTTGTGAAAAATCATATTCTGAGGAATTCTTCTTGCCCTCAAAAGTAAGATCATATTTACTGAATCTAGCATCTTTTAAGAAAAAATTCAAGATTGAGAACAATGTACAGTTTTCAAAATTTCTAAAGCAGCAATACCAGAGTATTATCCAGCCTAATTTTGTCAGTGAAGTTTATCACTTTTATTGTGACCTGATGCTGAAGCTGAAGCTCCAATACTTCGGCCACCTGACTCAAAGAGCTGACTCACTGGAAAAAAATCCTTATACAGGGAAGATTGAAGGCTAAAGGAGAAGGGGGCAGCAGAAGAAGAAATAATTAGATAGCATCACCGACTCAACGGACATGAGTTTGGGCAGACTCTGGGACACAGTGGAGGACAGAGGAGCCTAGCTTGCAGCAGTCCATGGGGTTGCAAAGTCAGACACATCTTAGCGACTGAACAAGAACTGTGACAAGAACAGTACCTCTCAGGGAAAGGAAAGCATCACATCTTAGGTGGTCAAAATGAAGCAAAGCAATGCAAAGCTTGAATACTACTTCCACTGTTTTTTTCTTTTTGAAAGAGATGAGACAACCTAGTTTCTCCTGAGGCAGAGTGATGTAAATGGACAAAAGTATCTTCTCTGAGAGGCGTTCCACTAGCCGCTATGAATGGTTGAACAAAAAGTGGCCATCCATCTGGGCAGACAGATGGTAGGTGCTGAATACAAGTTGCAAAAGTGAGAGACTGGAGTGGGTCAGGTGTAAATGCTGTTGGGGCGCCATCCACAAGAGGACAGTGGACCTAACATCACGCAGCATCGTCAATTGTCCTCCCCTCCCCTTCCCTGTCTTTTTTTCTTTTGACATAGAAGAACTGTATTTATTTTTGAGATGATGCACATGATAAAACGGCATGTTCATATCTTCACATGTAACATATACAATTTTAGAGTCTGAATGAATATGCACTAAAATATTAAAACTGGCTTATTTAGAAGAAAAGGTAATTGAGCATTAAAGAAAAGCCTACCTAGATGTACTTTAGTTTACTACGATAGACAGTATTTTCGAATCGTGGTAGCAGCTATCATGGACTGCCTGTACCTAACTGCCATTCCTGTTTCTTCCCTACTAACAAAACCCTGCCTACAGGCAATAAGATGTCAGGGCCAGGGGACAAAGGGGCCCACCCTCCCTTTTCACCAATGCCCAGCCAAGGGAGGATATGCGGTCCACCCATCAGAGAGACAGAGGGGCAAGTCTCTCTGGGCATCTCAAGGATATTCCTCTCTGATAGGAGCAGGATGGGGAGAAAGTTCCTTTATTGCTGTCTGCTCTGCTTCCGGCTTTGGTTCTGGACACTGTCATCTGAAGAAATGCTGCGGGGTTGTTATAGCCACTTTGTAACACCAAGGATGACAGAACAAATGCATCCAAGAAAATCTTGATGTCTTCCTGCCCTGTTCTTTCTCAGCTACTCTAAGTGGATAAAAATTGCCATTTATTTTCCTGGGTGATTTGTAAGCCATTTCAGCTCTGTCCCTCTGAAGGAAGGAAATGGAGGGTTAGCTAAACTGAAGGCTGTTCTCCACAAACGCTACTCTGTATAGACTTGCCAGTTTTTCTGCTACTTCAGAGATGGAGTTAAGAGATTCAACTGCTTCATCAAGAATTGTTTCATAAAGTGGTTACCAGGTTGGTCAAAACTTTTGAGCAATTATGAGAAACGTGTTTGATGATTTAATTAAAAAGGGAACTGTATACTGAAGACAGTACCTGGTATATGAAAGCACTTAATTAAAATATTAGACCACTGATCAGTGAAGTTAGGGTGGAGGCGGTTAAAAGGGTGAGGAACACACACAGAATGTTCCCACCCAGTTGAGGGCATGCTTCCCAGGGGAGATTCTGTTTAGATATTAAGAAGTGACCCTTCAAATGGGAAATGTGAAGTCCTAATAATTATACTGGTGTGTTCTTCTAAATATGAATTTAATCAAAATAAACTGCCAAATCTTTCAAAGAATCCACTGAAGAACTGAATGTATTCATTTCATGAGTTCCTCATAATAAGCTGTCTGATGTTATCTGCTGACAGCATTGATTAAAGGTATTTTTATTATAAAAAGTTCCTATTTTTTCCATAATTGATGACATATAAAATTAAACATGTCAAAACAGTAAAAAGGGAGACAATAACACTAAATTCCCTGTAGACAAAATTTTGTTACGACAAATAATAGTTAACTTAATCAAAGCAGAACCAGTTACCATTTCCCCCAACATAATTCTTGAGATGTGATGTTCACAATCAATGGGAGTGACTCAATTACTCTGCTTCCTAACTTTCAAAGATTTACTAGCAGTCTGGCTTGCAAAAAAACCCAAAAAACTCTGACTCACTTGAGACACTCAGATCATCAGATGTCATCAAATTTTGAAACCAATCAATAAAACAATTTCAACAAAGTCTGATGACAGAATGAAATTAAATCAACAGTGTACATATACTCCAAATGATACATGTACTTTGCTTCCCATTAAGGCTCAGGGGAAAAAAAAATTAGGTAACCTGAAAACATTTGAAAGATCAGTTTCATCTAGCTCAAAGGTTGTCACCAACATTAATCAGATCAGAAAGTCAGTGGATATACTGTACTTAAGAAACATTATTTTAGCATCCAAGGATGCCAAAACATTTCTTGGAATCTAGTTAGAAGAAGAGAGACCACAGTGAATTTCAGGATTAACAACTCTAAAGCAATAAATACCACCTCCCTCTGGGAATCCAAGCTCATAGAAGAGTGTCAGCTCAGGTGAAACACGGGAGCCAGCAAACAGGACTAAACAACTGTCTAATGGCTGAATGAATGGATGGATAGATAATTGGGTGAACAAATGGAAGAATGGCATGAGAAACTTATCAGGAGAGTTTTAAAAATTAAGAGCGATAAAGAGAAAGCATAATCTGCATTAAAACTTACTTATTCCAGGCTTGTCTAAGGTTTTTAGAGCTGTACAGGGTAAAGCGTTCTGAAATAAAAAAGAAAAATGATAAACAGTCTTTATTCCAAGTGTCCATATTGACAGTATGTTAAAAAAAAAAACTTTTAAAAAGTTACTGTTGGATTTAACCATAGTTATGCTAACTAGGTCTTCACCTCAGATTAAACAGTTCTAAAGAGTAAAACAAGCAGAGTTTAACACTTTAAGCAATTAAACATTGTTTTCTTTTATCTAGAGCGATTTGTTTCATAACCTGGCTTCCTAGTAATTCTTTCTTAGAATAAGTTTTAACTGGGTTGAAAAAAGCAATGAAAATTCTTTTTCTGGACTGCAAACTGTAGGTAGATTTATAGAAGAATACTGCCACATCAGTCCAGTGAAACCTGCTGTTTTCTCAACGAAGACATCTTTTTTTTTAAACATTTTAAAATGTTTATTTTTAATTAAAAATTTTTTATATAGTTTTAAGGTTACTTTCCATTTACAGTTATTACAAAACATTGGCTCTATTCCCCATTTGTATGATACATTCTTGGGCCTCTCTTATACCCAGCAGTTTGTGCCTCCACTTCCCCACCTCTACGTTGCTCCTCCACCCCCTACCTACTGGTAAACACTACTCTGTTCTCTGTATCCATCTGCCTGCTTCTTTTTGGTTACATTCACTAGTTTGTTGTATTTTTTAGATCCCACTTAGAAGCAATACAGCATTTGTCTCTCTCTGTCTTATTTCACTTAGCATAATGCCTTCCAAGTCCATCCATGTTAGTTCACTCCTGGGCTCTTCATTCCTTCCTACATTTCCACATTTTTGTCTGGGGTTCTTTTCTTCTACTTCAAGGACTTGGAATGTTTGCATATTCTCTAGAACATGAGGTCATCTAGTCCTAGTTTTAAAATTTTATTTATTTTAAATTGGAGGATAATTGTTTTACAATATTGTGTTGGTTTCCGCCATATATCAACAAAATCAGCCATAGGTATATGAATGTACACTTGACCAAATACAGTAGTGCAGATCTCCTTGCCTATACTATATAGTATTTACACATAGGCAAAGCCAAACCACCAAGATCCTATAGTGTATATTCACATTTACCATTGAACAATCTTTATCAAATTTTTTAAATGAAAGCATACATGTTTTACAAAGCTAAACAATACAATGGCATAAAATACATATTAATAATATTTTCTCCTGCTCCCATTTTTCACTTCTAATGATATAGCAATGGTTATAGGCTTGGTATGTCTCTTTCCACATGTTTATGTTTATAAATAAAAATCTATCCATACATACAAATATATATAATATTTTAATTTTTAAATGGATTGTACAAAACATTCTCTGAAATTTTTTAGGCATCTAATAATATATATTGAATAGTCCTTCAAATATATAACAACTGTTTCAAACCTATGTAATATTCCAGAGGATAGAATTACAGAAACTATTTGACCATTCTCCAACTGATGAAAATTTAGGTAGTTTCCAGTCCCTTTTTGTCTTAAAAACAATGTTTCAATAAATAATCCTTTCACATCTATTTCTGTATACTTGTGCTTTCTTTTTTGTTACACAGATTCCCCAATATAGAACTGCTTGGAAAATGGTATGCATATTTCAAACTTTAGTACATGATGACAGATTACTTTTCATTTCCCACCAGCAACAAAAAAATAATGTCTCATATTATGCATCCCTGGGATGCAAGGACAGTTCAACATATGCAGATGAATAAATGTGCTACATCATATTAACAGAATGAAAGATAAAAATCACCTGATCATCTCAATAAATGCAGAAAAAGCATCTGACAAAATTCAACACCCATTCATTATATAAACTCTCAATATATTAGGTATGGTGGAACATACCTCAACACAGTAAAGTCTATATATGACAAGCCCACAGCCAGCATCACACTCAATGGTGAAAGGTACAACTCTTAAAGAAAAAGACATGGTACTTACTCTCACTATTCCAATTCAACACAGTATTGGAAGTCCTAGCCAGAGCAATCAAGCAAGAAACTACAACAAGAAAACTGAAGCCAACCAACCACACCCCCTAAAAAAAACACACATCTGAAATGGAAAAGAAGAAGTAAAATTGTTGATGTTTGCAGATGACATGGTTTTTTTTCATAGAAGATCTTAAAGACTCCATCAAAAACCTGTCAGAACTAATCAACACAATCAGGGAAGTTGCAGGACACAAATTCGATAAACAAAAATCAGTCACATTTCTATATACTAACAATGACTGATCTGAAAAAGAAACAAACAATCCTATTTACAACAGCATCAAAACCAATAAAACACCTAGGATTAAATGTAACCAAGTAGGTAAAAATCTCTACACTGAAAGCTATAAGACACTGATGAAAGAAACTGAAGACACAAATAAGTGGAAAGACATTCCACACTCATAACTGGAAGAACTAATATGTTGGTAAAATGTGCATACTACTAAAAGCCATCTATAGATTTAACACAATCCCTATCAAGATTCCAATGGCATTTTTTACAGAAATAGGAAAGAATGACAAAATTCACACAGAACCACAAAAGACCAAAGCAATATGGAGAAAGAAGAACAAAGTTGGAGTCATTATACCTCTTAATGTCAAACTATAGCACAAAGCTACAGTACTAGAAACAGCATGGTACTGGCATAAAAACAGACACAGGGAACACTAATAGAACAGAACTGAGAGCTCAAGAGTGAACTCATGCATAAATATGGTCAATGTTTGACAAGGGAACCAACATACTCAATGGAGAAAAGATAGTCTCTTTAATGAATGGTGCTGGGGAAAAATGATACTCAAATGAAAAAGAATGAAACTGGACCTCTATTTTATATCACACAAAAAACCTGGAAAAAGATTAAGGACTTAAATGCAAAACCTGAAACCACAGAAGAAAACCAGGAAAATACTCACTGACCTTAGTCTTCATAATGACTTTATATTACAATACCCAAACACAGGGAATAAAAACGAAAATAAACACGTGGAACTACATCGATCTAACGGGTTCTGCATGGCAAAAGAAATAATCAGCAAAATGAAAGAGCAAGCTACAAAACGGGAGAAAATATTTACAAACCACATATCTGAAAAACAGTGGTGCTGAAGCTCAGTCGCTTCAGTTGTGTCCAGCTCTTTGTGACACCCTGGACTGTGGCCTGCCAGGCTCCTCTCTCTGTGGGATTTTCCAGGAAAGAACACTGAAGTGCGTTGCTGCTTCCTCCTCCAGAGAACTTCCCAACCCAGGGATCGAACTCCTGTGTCCCGCCTCTCCTGCACTGGCAGGCACATTCTTTACCACTGAGCCACCTGGGAAGCCCATCTGAAAAACGGCTAATATCTAAAATATAGAAGGGACTCATATAACTCATTGGCAAAAGAAGTAGTAATCCAATTAAAGAATGGGCAAAAGTGCCTGAACAGACATTTTTCCAAGAATGATATTTACATGCGAAGTGCATGAAAAAGTGCTTGACCTCACTAAACACCAGGGAAATGAAAATCAAAACCACAGTGAGATTTCCCTTCACACTGGTTAGAATGTACAGAAATGCAGAGAAAAGGACACACTTGGGCTCTGCTGGTGGGAATTTAAATTGGTACAGCCACTGTGGAAAAGAGTATAAAGGTTTTGCAAAAAAATTAAAAACAGAACCACCACATTCTCCAGTCATTTAACTTCTGGGTATATATTAATATCTGTAGGAAATGAAAGAGATTTCCACACTCTTATGTTCACTGCAGCATTATGTATAACAGCCAAGATATGGAACCACCATAACCGTCCCTTGGTGGATGTGTGGATAAAGAAAATGTAGCGTATGTATACACCAGAATGTTGCTGTTGTTCACACGCTAAGTTGTGTCCGACTCTTTGGGACCCTACGGACAGCAGCACACCAGGTTTCCCCGTCCTTCCACTATCTCCCGGAGCTTGCTCAGACTCATGTCCACTGAGCTGGTGACGCTTATCTCATCCTTTGCCAACCTCTTCTTCTCCTGCCCTCAGTCTTTCCCAGGATTCTGATCTTTTTCCATGAGTCAGTTCTTTACATCAGGTGCCCAAATTGGAGCTTCACCTTCAGCGTCAGTCCCTCCAACAAATGTTCAGGTTTGAGTTCCCTTAGGATGGACTGGTTTGATCTCCTTGCTGTCCAAGGGACTCTCAAGAGTTTTCTTCAGCACCACAGTTCAACAGCATCAATTCTTCAGTGCTCAGCCTTCTTTACTGTCCAACTCGCATATATTCAGTCATAAAAAAGAAGGAAATGTTGCCATGTGCACTAACATGGATGGAAATTGAGGCAAAATAAGTCAGACAAAGACAGAAACTGCATGATCTATTTTCTATGTGGAATCTAAAAAAATACTTAAACTCATGGAGTAGAGAGCAGACAACAGATGTGGTTGAGATGTAGGGCTGGAGGTGGGGAAATGGATAAGTAGTCAAAGGGTATAAACTTCCAGTTATAAGATGAATAGCTTCTGGGGCTGTCATGTAAAGCATGGTGACTACAGTTAACAATACTGCATTGCTTGTTTATTTGAAAGTTGCCAAGAGAGTAGATTTTCAAAGTTCTCACTATAAAATAAAAAATTGAAACTATGTGAAGTAATGGATGTGTTAACTAAACTTATGGCAGCATTTTGTAATATATACACATATAAAATAACTGTGCTGAAAATCTTAGATTTACACAGTGCTCTCTGTCACTTATAACCCAATAAAGCTGAGGGAAAAAGAGTGTTCTAGCAAATAAAACATGGAGGTATGAAGTAGAGTGTGAGGGCCACTTAAGGCTGGCTGGCAATGGAAGGTGAATTTCAAACAAAACAGTCAATCAACACAATAAACAAAGATCCCACTGGAAACCTGGCTGGAGTTTCATTAAAATAAGTATTTATCTGAAAAGGCTGATATATAATTTCTATATATAACAATCTGTTGTATCTTTCCAATTATTTAAAACATTTTTGATTATGCAATTTTAT